GGCAAAGTTCCATTAGAACTATTCTTCATAACTAGTTGCAGTTGACGTATACTTTTGTGTCCAATGATAGGGCATTGTTAATGGGACGGAACCAGCCAATGAGAGCGTTTTACGCTGAGGGCTATTGATTTGGCCATAAATTGAATGTACCGTTAGTTGGACGTTAAGCAAAATATACGTGCCAGCCGTACGCCGGTCTCCTGCTTTGGGAAGTCGGGCTGATCAGAGTGCACGCTAGCAGCAGGTCATCGGTAGGTCAGCCGAAACCATAACATATATTTTTGGCGACGGAAGGTAGTGGATCAAGATGTCAATTTCAGCGGAAGACCTGAAAATCATTTTGTTGCAGCAACAGCAGCAATTTGAAACAGCACAGCTGCGTATGATTGAAACCCTCACCCAAATGTTATCTGTGCAGCCTACGGTCGTTCAGAACAATGGGAAGCCTTCGGCGGATGCGATGATCAGTAGTGTTAATGAGTTCATATTCGATCCTGACTCAGGATTAATATTCGATGCGTGGTTCAGGCGCTATGAAGATGTTTTCAGGGCAGAGTTGTCAGGTCTCGATGATGCATCTAAAGTTCGCCTTTTGTTACGAAAACTCGGAACGGTTGAACATGACAGATACATTAACTACATTTTGCCAAACAACGCGCATGATTTCAGCTTTGATGATACAGTTGCTCGACTCACAGCGTTGTTTGGAGACCAGTCGTCTCTTTTCAATAACCGATACAATTGTCTAAAGCTATGCAAAACGGACAATGACAGTCTTATTGCTCACGCGGCGATAGTCAAACGTGAATGCCAGAAATTCAAACTGAAGTCGCTCACGGAAGACCAGTTCGAGTGTTTGATACTAGTATGCAGTCTACAGTCCCCAAAAGACGCCGAGATACGAACGAGAATACTTGGTATGTTGGAACGCGACACAGAAGTTACATTACAAAACGCCATTGCTGAAGCCCAAAGAATCATGAATTTAAAGCACGATACGGCTATGGTGGAAGATTCGAGAGCACATTCCGCAGATATATCTGTCCAGCAAATTTCAGGAAACAACCCACCGACCGCTCAACCTAGCAGATATCCACAATCCAAACCCCCATCACCTTGCTGGCAATGCGGAGGATGGCATTTTGTGAGATGGTGTCCTTTCAGCAAACATGTTTGTCAAAGGTGCTTTAGACGGTGGCACAAGGAGACCCACTGCAGATTCAAAACATCATTTAGATCGTCATGTGATACTCGAAAAGCAGGTTACCGAAGGTTCGCGACAAGAGTAAACGCTAACTATACGGACGATGTTAAAGATAGAAGAAAGTTCGTCACTATTACCATCAACGGAAGAGTAGCGCGTCTGCAGATTGATACGGCTTCCGATATTACAGTCATTACGGAAAACTTATGGAAAGCTATCGGTTCACCTGACATTAAACCAACTAACCATAAAGCGAAGAGCGCATCAGGTACGAGTCTAAACTTGATCGGTCAGATTGAATGTGAGTGTCGCTTTGCCAACTTCACCGCTTGGGGAACTATGTTCGTCACAACACACAAGAATTTGAACCTCCTTGGATTAGACTGGATTGAGCGATTCAACCTCTTAGATGTTCCCATTAATCAAATCTGTGCAAGTGTACACTTACACAAACCAAAAGTCCCCAAGGCAATGGCAATCGAACAAATTCGAGAGAAATATGCACCTGTTTTCCGTGAAGGACTTGGTAAGTGTACAAAGTTGCAAGCCTCATTGTCCTTAAAACCCGATGCTGTTCCTGTTTTCCGTGCAAAGCGGCCAGTACCTTACGCAGCAGTCCCAATTGTTGACCAGGAACTTGATCGTTTGGAGAAACTTGGGGTTATCTATGCAGTGAACTACTCTTCTTGGGCGGCTCCAATTGTGGTTGTCAAGAAGCCGAACGGCCAGATCCGGATATGTGCCGACTTTTCTACTGGGCTGAATGAAGCGTTAAACACGCATCAGTATCCTCTGCCAGTCCCAGATGATTTGTTCTCGAAACTAAATGGGGGTCAGTGTTTTGCCAAGCTAGATCTATCGGATGCGTACTTACAAATAGAAGTTGATGAAGCTTCTAGAGAATTACTGACGATAAATACGTACCGAGGTTTGTATCAGTATCATCGACTTCCATTCGGAGTTAAGTCCGCGCCAGCAATTTTTCAGCAAATCATGGATACTATGCTAACAGATGTAGATGGTGCTGCCGCATATTTGGACGATATCATTGTCGTCGGAACTAACCCAGATGACCTTTTCAGAAAGCTGCACTTACTACTTGATCGCATACAAGAGTACGGATTTAGACTTCGCCCAGAAAAGTGCACGTTTTTCATGGACTCCATTAATTTTCTTGGCTTCATAATTGACAAGAACGGTAGACGTCCAGATCCGTCAAACATTGATGCTATAAAAAAGATGCCACCTCCCAAAGATGTGCCTACTCTGAGGTCCTTCTTAGGACTCGTCAGTCATTACAGTCAATTTCTGCCACATATGCACAGCGTGCGTGGACCACTCAATGAGTTACTCACCAAGGACAAACGTTGGCACTGGTCCGAAGATTGTCAGAAGTCCTTTGAGGAGGTGAAGCGAATGCTGTGTTCTGACCTTATGCTGACACATTACGACCCTACACTTGAAATCGTGGTGGCGGCAGACGCTTCGAAGTATGGCGTGGGTGCAGTTATCTCTCATAAGTTTGCTGACGGATCGGAAAAAGCGATCGCACACGCAGCTCGATCACTGTCGCCAGCCGAAAAGAATTACGGGCAGATAGAGAAAGAGGCATTAGCGATAGTCTTTGCAATAAAGAAATTTCACAAAATGTTGTATGGCAGGAGGTTTACCCTGCTTACCGACCATAAACCACTCCTAGCCATATTTGGATCAAAGTCCGGTATACCCGTTTATACCGCGAACAGACTGCAGCGTTGGGCCACGGCCTTACTCGCCTATGATTTTGCGGTGAAGTACACGGCTACAAAGGGCATAGGTCAAGCAGACGCACTTTCCCGGTTATTGGAGCTACAACAGCATCAGCAGGAAGAATCTATAATTGCAGCAATCTCCCTTGAATCAGAGGTCAACCAGGTCTTGATGGAGAATTTTAGGAAGCTTCCCGTGACGTCTGACATGGTACGTGACGCAACTGTGCGAGATCCCCTCTTGCGCCAGGTAATCAAATTTCACACTACGCAGTGGCCAAGTGATACTCTATCCGGAGAGCTACAAATTCTCTCTCGGAGAAAGGACGAACTTTCGATCGTAAATGGGTGTTTACTTTTGGCCGAGAGAATTGTCATACCCAAAGAACTTCGCCAAACAGTCCTTCAGCAATTTCATCGGGCACATCCTGGAATTAACAGAATGAAAAGCATTGCTCGGAGTTTTGTCTACTGGCCAAACATTGATTCGGAACTCGAGCAACTAGTAAAGTCATGTCCCAGATGCGCGCTTGCTAGTAAGGCACCGAGAAAAGCTGACTTAGCTTCCTGGCCGTTGGCAACAAAACCGTGGGAACGCGTGCACGCTGATTTCTTTGGTCCCCTAAACGATCAGCTGTACCTAATACTTGTTGATTCCTATAGTAAATGGCCTGAGGTCTTCTGTATGGAGTGTGCGACAAGTGGTGCAACAATTAACATTTTGAGGAGACTTTTCAGTCAACACGGAATACCAGAAACCTTGGTCACTGACAATGGTTCTCAGTTCACTTCGTCCCAATTTGCCGAATACTGCGCACAGCATGGTATCACGCATCTACGGTCGCCACCGTTTCACCCTCAGTCAAATGCACAAGCAGAGCGCTTCGTCGACACGTTTAAACGATCGCTACTAAAGATGCGGGGGGAAGGAACCACACAGGAGATACTTGATACATTTTTGCTCGTGTACAGATCAACTTCAAATCCCCAAGTACCAAACCAGTTGTCGCCGGCAGAAGCACTAATGGGAAGAAAACTCCGTACTGTGAATTCCCTGCTAACTCCGAGGTGTACTAATGAGCAAGAAAGGAACGTTCGGATGGAGCAGTACTACAACGAGCGACACAGAACTCAAGCACGCTGCTTTTACCCCGGACAGCGTGTCTTAGTAAGAGACTATCGCGCGGGAAACCCGCAATGGGTGGTAGGATCGATACGGAGAAATATTGGACAGGTGCTATATGAGGTTAATGTGGGTAATTTGATTTGGACCAGGCATTCCAATCAGCTGCGACCAACTAGCATCCCTGCGGGCACAAGCGCTCGGTTACTACCGTCAGATATTCTACTAGAGAGTTTCGACATGCCATCTAATCCCCAAAGCAATTCGGATGCATCTCGCACAGAAGTCTCAGAGGAACCGAAGGTCCAGACCCGGCGCTGTACTGATCGACTACGGAGACCTGTCGTAAGAATGCAGTTGGATCCAAAAATGAAGTATTATGTCAACTTTTGCGGGGGAAGGTGTTAATGGGACGGAACCAGCCAATGAGAGCGTTTTACGCTGAGGGCTATTGATTTGGCCATAAATTGAATGTACCGTTAGTTGGACGTTAAGCAAAATATACGTGCCAGCCGTACGCCGGTCTCCTGCTTTGGGAAGTCGGGCTGATCAGAGTGCACGCTAGCAGCAGGTCATCGGTAGGTCAGCCGAAACCATAACAGGCATGGTGCGAGATATCTCAGCGTTTATATTCAAAAGTTGGATAGAGTCGATTGGTCGTAGTGACCTTAGACGTTGATTTAAACAGATACCTGCCAGCTTCTTGAAAAATGACACATCTACAGTAGACCATGTAAAAATTGATGTTCAGGGTAAAAGACAACGGCCGATTTAAAGGACCCACCAACGGTGGCTTTCAATTTTATAGTGTAGAGCCCAGATTTGATATATATTTGAAGCAATGCAAAACCAATACTCATGCGATGTCATCTAGAAAGCAGTAAGTTTACACTTTAACCCTGATTTTTTTCCCATGAACTAATAGATTCGCCTACATTATCGAAGGAGAACGTGTTCTACGCGCTGGACGTGTGCATCGCTGCCGTATTCGCTCCGCCTACGTCTGCACACCTTGCTGCTCAAACGACTGGAGCGGAAACAATCAGCACACATGCAGCACATGCGGCGTCTGATGAAGTAACAGAGCGCGGCATTGAGAAGCTGAACAGATATGCCAGCGAACCCACTTCCCAAGGAGGACGGAATCTGTCCATTTCGGATCTTGGCTTCACGCCAGATGAAGCAAAATCGATCAGTACTCCTGGATTAGATCTTGATGTTAGTGGCGAGTTAAGCTCTTGTCTTAGCCGATTGCTCAGCCCAACGCTGACATTCCTGTCGTCTAAGGAGCCGGTCGCATCAGCCCAGGCAACACTTCATCCGAATTCAGTCCTCGTCAAACATAGCACGCAACCAGAAGGTAATAACATGAAAGCTCGGCACTCTATCTCATCGGCCTCTACTCACAAGACACAGTCTCGTCATACAGACTCTTCTGTGGCAAGAACTCCACAAATTAAATATCAGGCAGAGAACTTTAAAACGGAATTTACACATCGGTAAGCCTCAGTTGGTCTTTCTTGAATTGTCTACACAATAAACCTTGGAATCGTTGAAGAATTTTCTGAATTTGTCTGTAAATAAGTATTGGACACTAGGCCATCAGATATCAAATGCGTTTCCTTGGTTGTACATTGTATAACCAGGATTCACAGGTGTTACTCAACTAGTGAAACGCAAAGGTGAAGATGCAATACAGCATTGAGTGAAATCCGAAGAATGCTATCCTCGGGCCAATGATTTGCCAATCCAAGGCGGTAATTTGAATTGATGCGGAGGCAGGAAAATGCAAACGATTCACCCAGTTTGCATACTTATTTTTGCTAATAGCAGCCAGTCACAATGATGAGGAAGCACTTTAATGACATCAAACCACCAGTTGGACCCCGCTATCATCAGGCTCAGCTACTAGTAGCACAGAGGATGACCCTTCTTCCGCGCTGCTCCGTTTCCTGTTCGGCAGTTCTCATTTAATTTTCAACTTGTTCTCCAGCATTGGCTCATCCGAAACAAGTTTAGAATAATCGTTTATTTTAATACTTGAAGGCAGCGTCGTTGCTCCAGAAAAAAGCGAAATATTATCGGTATTTTTGGACACGGCGCCTTAACAGTTAAAAGGTCTTATAAGAACCCTGTAGCTGTCTTTGTCCCTAGCTTGTCTTTGCTAAGCGAATTGTTTCTCGCTAAGATAACAGATCATATGACACCTTGATCAAAAAGAATAAAATGCCCAATTAACCAACTTGATCTTACTGAATATATCGCTTCTTTTATTTGGATACATGTGCACAAGTATGCTACTGAACGGCGTAACTTCAGTGTATCTTATCTTGGCGAACACCTGGTAACTTTAGACCACGAAGTACTGACATAGCACTGAACTGATGCGCCGAAGTAGTTTTTCCCCTACAAGTCAGCTAACCAAGCTTTTCGAGTGTAACTGGAAGGCCCATGTGGTTCTTTCGGATCTTTAAATTTTATGAAGTCAGTGTTAAATCCACATGTTGGTCAATGGTTAGTTTAACAGCGCCGCTTGGCGCACTTTCAAGTTCGTGCTGAGGACATTACAGACGGTCTGTCTTTGGCTTCTGTCACCTTGAAAACAACCCACATCACGCTAGTCCATCGAATGGTACATTCAGGATTTAAGGAGTTGCCTTTTGACAGCAACTAGCATCGATCCTTTGCAGCGCCAATGAAAGCTCAGAGTTAGCTCTTCATGTGAGCAGTCTGTTTGTATTTCGTTTTCCGTCGATGGGTGTTGTCCAGTGAATTCTCCAAGGAACATGACGAAACTCACCTAGCCAACTGATTGCGATGATCAATGCGGTCCGCAGCTTTGGCAGTATGGGTGGTGTAAGAGTATACTCCATGGAGTGACTAGGTGATTACCATGATATTCTCAATGAGTCCTATCTATCGCACCATGCTGTTCTATTGCAGCTATCCTTTAGTTCATAATTATACGACACCTACCAGCTGGTTCCACAACGCTTCGGTAGTCACATTATGATTGTAAGCTAGACGCGAACTATGACTTTCTATGAGATTCCGTAATTTTAAGATTGGAGTACGTGGTCAAGGAGGTTCGGCACGCAGGGTACAAGTAGCTAGACGATTCAATACTATTTATCCAGAAGTTTCGGTCCCGTACAACTACTTTCAAGTACCTATAAAGTAAGATAAAGCATCATTAACAAGTGTGGAAGTTCGTAACCGGTTTATTTCTACATTTAGATGTACGTTTTCCTTACGTTTGGGATCGTTAAGTAAAGATATTCGAGACACATAGGAGTACGCCCGTAATGGACAAAGACTTGACAACGATTTGAACTTATTTCATACTTCATATTACATCTATCACGGTAAGGTTTATACTACAATAGCAGTTGTCTTCTATACACTCCGCTCATCAGATTCAATCTTCTTCAGCTTTTCCAAAGCGTATTTTGCCTGCACTTAAATCAACAGACTCGGGTTTCTGGGACTGAAACTGATTTTGGTCGGTTACAATCGGCACGCCTCAGTTCGCCTCCGCGTCATCATCGGAACGCTGACCAAACTGGCTCTCAATGGACAGAGTGGAATACAACTGTGGAAGTTCTTCGACTTTCTCGTTACTCACAGGCCACCAGTTTTCATTCACATGTTACCGTTCATTCGGTTTAAGGTGAGGATGGTGTGAAATTTTGTTGCTTACCGTCCAGAGCAGCTTCTTAGATTTTAGTCCGATGTATGCATAAAACTGCCGGTTCGAAATGCGCACACTCTCGCACGGCTTACTCCATATGCCGTACACTCACTAACTGCCGCCACTTCCTAGTGTTTACGTATGCGAAATTTTGTCGGTGCCTAACGCTCATCTTGACCACGCGATAAAATCGGCTCAGCTAACAACGCCAAAACCTATTCCTAGAGTTTACTATCGTGAATTGAGACTACTCCAAGCCGACTTGTGGCTCCGGTCAGAGAACCACTAGCACCCGCAAACCGCTACGCTTCCGTCAGACCATTTCGAGACCCGTCAATGGTCGCATGCCTGCGACCAGTTGTGGGAACAGAAACCGTGAACCACATTAGGCAAGTAGTGATACAAACCTACAGCCTGCTTCCGTAACCAATACAAGTAGCTACCTTCTCGCGGTGTGACAGGGTTAACTCCACACAAAATGGAGCGTTACTGCAGTGCAAAGAACTTGCCTACATAAGCCCAATCAATCAATTAACGCATGACATTCTAAGCAGTTCAGGAAGAGTACTACGCTGTTAGTCTGATACTGTATACTTCTAAACCTCTAATTTGTCGCGAATCGTTGTCTCCTTTCTATTTCACTCTGAGCCCAGGTCGATCGTAGCGGACATGCAGCTGTTTTAATCACAGTTGTAGGTTGGATTGCCTTGGTTGCCATAAACAAACTGTAGAGAACACTGAGTTAACTAAGCAGGAAATACAATACCTTGCCCCCATCGTATATGGATCCACAATACCACTGTGGCAAATGGACACATTTCTTACTGCCACTGTTGGAAACAAATTTAAAAGCGGGATGTGCATATCGCCTCGAATGGTTGTAACAAAACGAGTTGAGGGAGTAGAAGTGGTGATCGTATGTACGGGTTACCTGAAATACAAAGACGGCTTATTTCAATACACACAATGCGCTCTTGAATCGGCTAAACCCGACAGTTGTGGTAAAACACATGAAGTGGGCATCAGTATGTCTCAGTGGGGTTTCTAACGACAAGCTTGTTTCAAAAGAGGGATAGACGGTCAGTGCATATCAGTCTTTGGATGGTTTGAGTAATATTTCTGGGCACCGGGCTTAAGTTGCGGCACGACTGATACTTTCTGTCATATCTGTTTTCCTACGTGCTCTCTTTTTCTGGATTTCAACTCTGCTGGTTCTTCTTGTGCAGTCAAGCAGAAATTGGCACGTGCTACAATCCTTTAATAAACCCTATGGAACTAGGAAATAAACAGTTCATTTTTCTTATGTTGGGTGGACAATCAGGATATGATGTAGTAAGTCTACGTAATCTTCTTCTACGCGTCTTTGCGAGTTCACATCCTCGGCCTTGTGTCTCGCCGTAATTCTTCTTGGATGGCTATTTTTCATAAGCCCGCATGTCAAGATCACGTGCTTCTCTTTCGAGCTTCCAAGGGTGAATAACTTTTCGTAAATTTTCAAGTAATATTTTGACGAGCGTCCGCTGGTACCACATAACAGAGTAGCTGGTAAGATGTGGATCATGTTCCAAGCAAGTACCGTCAAACATGTCTAAAGCGACCACTCAAGGGAAAGACAAAAGTGGTCGCGTTGGACAGGTGGTCGCCATAGACAAGTTCATGCATAGGGACATTACTCATAGGAGAAAACGTTGGGGATGTTTCTGGCTGGTCGCCATAGACAGGTGATCACCCTAACAGGTTGGGCTGTAGTTTAATGCGCAGAATATTATATACTACCGTACAGTTAAAAGGTCTATAACCCTCAATTCCACTTGGATCCCGACAGCCAGTGACTCATACCGTTCCAACAATACCAGTAATCACGAGCAACAATAATCTCGCATATGAAATAATGCCATCACAAATGGGGAAAGCCTCATCGTTACACACTAACTGAAATTATCTAATGGCCATATGGTTCCACCGGTTAACTAGGCCCTTGACATCCTTTGAGCTGATTTGTTCGCTTCCAGCAGGTCAGTGATAGTCTAAATAAAAGCTCCGCTTGGCACTACGAATGCACGAAGAAAGAATTATGGGCGCAGAATGGAGGTCGAACAAAATGCTACTCTTCCAGGTTGCACCGGACACGTTTCATCAGTAAAATGCGAGTGCGCATTTATTCGAACTGGTTTCCTTGTTGAGATAAGGTGAAAGATTTTCGAGTAAATGCGGACTGCCCACATTGTGATATCACGAGTGTGATATGCAGTGTAGTTAGGAAACTGTAGGTAACGGTGTAAGATTTGGTACTGTAGGGCCCAACCTCACCTTGCTTTGATAGGCTTTTACCATTTAGTTTCAACCCACATTTGAACGCGGAGCGTCATTCCTGCCCTGTCGACAAATCCATGTCCAAGCAAGTGGCTAAGCACAATTCATCGGCTTCCATTTGGAGCCCTCGATCATCCTTCAGATTGGCATGCCTCAATGTACGCACATTGCTACAGATCGGTCAATAGGCAGCACTTGCCCGAACATTGGAGACCCTCTCGATTGATATCTACTGCTTATCGGAGACCCGCCTGCAAGACTCGAGCTCTGTGTTCACGTTACGATCCCCTTCAGGTGATACCAGCAGTATTTTCTCATTGCGCCTGTCCGAGAACGATGCAGCTTCGAGCACCGGACAAGCTGGTGTTGGTATCGCTCTGAGACCCCGGGCTGAAGCTGCTCTGGTTGACTGGATTCTAATCCGTAGCCGGATGTGTGCGGTCTGGTTGGCTGGCTTGTTCAAAACTTCTAAGCCGCACGGGACTAACAGGTGTCTATTCGTCATCGCTGACTATACACCCACACACTCTAGCGATGACTCGGTAAAAGACGACTTCTGGTGCCAGTTGAACCAGCTCCTTCGCCACAGAAGAAGCTCGGACACTGTTGTTCTGTAGGGATCTGAACGTACAACTTGTAAAGTTATCCACTGATGAACTGTATCTGGGCGGCCAACATGATGCAGGCTCCCGTAATGATAACAGTGAGCGGTCACTTCACTGGTGTGAAGATGCTCGCTTATTTCTTGCGAGCACTAATTTCCGACACAGCACCCGGCGGAGGGTGACTTGGCGCCACTAGCCTTGAACCAGCTATGGACGCAGATCGATCACATTGCGATAAGTTACCGCTGGAGAGGCTGCGTCCAGAACTGTAGCTCGATTTGGAGCACAGGTGTGGACACCGACCATGCACTTGTATGTGCTGACCTGCGGATACGATATGGCGGACGCCCAGGACAACGTTGTGAGCGCCTTGACATCAGAAGAACTGGGGAAACCAGCTGTTCTGAATGCCTATCAAAGTACGCTGTCATGCGAGTAGAGTAAACGCTCACTGGATACAGCTGAAGCTCACCGGTCTCATATTCACCAGACCTTACAAGCAGCAGGAAAATCCTCATGTGGTATGTCTAATCGCCAACATGGACGTTAGGTCACTTCACAGTTTCTGGAACTTATCGATGCTCACCAGCATATTCCGGCTAGAAGAGAACACAGTGAAACACGCAAAGAGCTCCGGGCAAAACTCCGTGCTAGCCTGAAAAGAAACAGCGAATCCTGGTGGTCTCATTGTGCATCAGTGATGGAAATGGCCGCTGTCCTTGGTAACTATCGTAAGTTGTTCCGGCTGAGACGGGTTTTAGTGAAAGTATGCGTGACGAGAGTGGACAGCCTATCCACAACTTCTCAAAGCGCTTGGCGCCTTGAGATGAGCACTTTGAAAGGCAATTTAATCGGTCGGAATTGTTGGATTTCCCGCCGGCCACTGATCGCCCCGCTCCCTGCGCTGTCCCTTTGGATCCACTCTCTCGATCGGAAGTCGAACGTGAGATCGCACAGTTGAAGTTTAATAAAGCCGCGGGACCAGATGATCTTCTTCCAGCGATTTGCAAATTCGGGGGACCTGATCTTGTGGATGATTTATATGTGTTACCAGTGAGATTGTGGGAGCAGGAAACGGTCTCAACCGACTGGAGCCGCTCCGTCATAGTCCCAATTTTCAAGGGAAACTCCCGTTTGGAATGCGGCAACCATAGAGGAATCAGTCTGATATCCATCGCCTCCAAATTGCTTGTCTCTGTCATCCTTCGCAGACTGACTGGCACTCGTAAAAGCCATATTCGTGAAGAGCAAACAGGGTTTCGTTGTGATCGTGGCTGCTTTGACCAAATGTTTACTTTGCGTCAGTTGTTGGAGCACCGTTACTTATATTGGCGGCCCACCGTTGTCGTGTTCCTCGATATCAAAGTGCATTCGATTCGGTGGATAGACGTGCAATTTGGGACTGTCTACTCAGGAAAGGTGCATCTGAAGAATATGTAAATATTATCCGATCATTATACGCGCGTAGCTCGGGCAGAGTGAGGGCTTCCTGCTAGCTGTCGTCGCCCTTTAATATTTCTAGCTGTGTGAGACAAGGATGGCTGCTGTCACCTTTGCTCTTCAACTTCGCTATTTACGAAGTCATGGAAATCGCGTTCATGGGACACGACTTAGAAGGTGTGGATCTGCACCCAGGTGAACGACTGCTTGACTCGGAGTAGGCTGACCATATTGCCCTAAGCCGTGACAGCTCACAAACGTGCCAAGCGGCACTGTCTGTCCGTCACTTCGGGCTTCGCTTTGCACCCTCGAAGTGCAAAGTGTACCTCCATGATTGGCCTAGACCGCCTCCTTCGCTGACCTTTGGTGGGGATCAGCTAAAAGTCCTTCAAAACTTCAACTACCTGGGAAGTTGTATCAACGACCATGTGATCGAAGATGAGATCACGAACCGTATAGCGAAAGCTCGAGGCGCTTTTTCTAACCTTCGACACTTATGGCGCCGGCGCGACATCACTAGCCCTGAGGAGTGGAGTGTTCAATGCAGCGGTAAGTTCGACCCTGCTGTACGGTTGTGATACCTGCCCCCTTAGATCAACGAACATAAAGAGGCTCCTTACG